ATAATAAACAACACTAATTCCTACGATCAATGAAGTTCTTCGACACTACTACACAGATCGACTTCCAGAGCACCGCTAAAGGTACAATGTACAACCATTTACGACGTATTCCCATCAAGACGAAACAACATATCGAAATGATCGTTTTGGAAGTCTCCCTCGACAAGTTCGAATCACAGCGACGGCACACTTCGTGATCACCGATAAGGGATAGGCGCCGTCATAGTTCATCCTCTGGAAGCTTGCCCCCGAAGACTGTTCAGCGTCAGCGAGCCACATTAGTACATCCCTTGTCTGAAGGGATTGCTGTCTCCGGCAGATCTCTGATCTGGGTTAGGTCTCCTGAACGGGTTGATGTCCATCTGTCCTTGCTGTTCCTGCCCGTAGGGTCTTTGACCGTATCCCGGAGCGTTCTGGTTGTAATTGGCCGGTTGCTCGTATCCTGGCGGCTGTTCATAACCTGGTTGAACCTGATTGTACCCGGCGGCGTTCGTATTCTGCCCGTATCCGGGTTGCTCATAGTTCTGTGCTTGATAATTCTGATCGTAGCCCGCGTCCACATTGGTCTCCATGCGTGATTGGTTCAAGTGATTGCCCACATCGCCGGAAAGAGGTCTTTGCTCTTGCAACACGTACGTCTGATACTCTTTGTCAGGCGGGTCCTGCATGAGGACATCAGCTTCGTCCTGGAACGGCTTGAAGTCGTAGATATGCCTCAAGTATACCAGAACAGGTGCATAGAGCAAGTTCGAGAAGGCGATGCCTACGTTCAAAGCAGTGAAGCCGATCGCTTCGACGACTCCGCCAGCTATTATGGGGCCGATTGCATAGGCAACGCTGTAGGAGATGTCTGCTATGGCGTAGATGCTCCCGTAGACAGACACGTACCTCACGTCCACCAAGTAGCCTAACGTCGGCAGCAGAGCGGTGTCTATCAGAGCTATACCGAAGCAGATCCCGCACAACGGGATCATGAGGACCTTGTACGAGGTGCAGAAAGGGATTATAAAACAGCAGAGACCCTCTAGAGCTAGACCTGAGGCAGCCATTAACCACTGGTGTTGGGGATACTGTTTGGCCATTTTCACGGTGATCATGACGCCGAAGACGTGTGGGAAGAACGCCGGCAGCCAGATCATACCCATCTTCCAGTTGTCGTGAGTAATATGGTCCTCCATCCATAGCGAGATCGTAGGCTCCAGGAACGCTAGAGCCACATTGGCCATCATCAAAGCCCCCGCGCACACTGCGATGTAGGGGTCCATCAGCAGCTTCCAGATGGGTATCGAAGGTGGTTGATCGGCCCGTCTTTCCTTCACTTGCTCCCGGAGAGGTTTCATCACTAGCAATAACATGAATCCATCGGCCAAGCTGATGAAGGCTAGGATCAGAAAGGGAACCTCCTTCCCAGCGAACTGATACAGGGCTCCACCGAACGGTGGTGCCACCAAACACCCAAAACTGATGAAGGCTAACGCTATACCGAGCGCTTTGGAGCGTTCAGACTCCTCCGTGTAACGATCCGCTATCATGGCCAGTCCACTGGTGTCTGCGAACGCTGATCCGACTCCTTGGAGACTCCTGGCGAAGAATAGGACGCCGTAACTTCTTCCACAGGCGAAGACCGCGGTCGACAGAAACATTATGCAGAGTCCTATCATCATCGGTATGTCGTATCCGATTCTGTCTATCAGCGCCCCAGAAAAAGGGTTCACCATTAACTGAACGATCGCTTTAGATGCAAACAGAATACCCGTAGCGGAGTCTTGACCGTGATGGACCGGCGGTCCTGTCGTATTCACCTCCTCCTCGATGTCGCCAAACGCGCCGACGTACTTCAGATAGTCGGGTATGATCGGCACTATCACCATGTACAGCATGTTGTCGAGTAGCAACGCTATCGAGACGATGATCAGCACGAGCTTGCGCTGAGCTTTCGGTTCTTGCAACTTCATCCATACTAGTTCCTTGAGCTCGTTGAGCTCAATGTTGAGAATGGGTATAGTCGTCGACATGGCGGTAGTCGGTCTTTAGGTGCTCGCCTTTAATGGATCAGGATCGTCTTCCAGGGTTTAATAACAACTAAACTCGGGAGTGACGGAGAGATCGTCGCGATTGGGGCGCATCAGGCCGGGCCGGGGATAACCTACAACAGATCACCGAGTTGGCACGGTTAGCTCCCGAAATTCATGCAATTTTTCTTTTTTTATTTTGCTTTTGTTTTTTTTTCTTTTTAGATCGACCGCTCGTTTCCGTTTTTATCATTACTATTTTCTTTTTTCTTTGGGTTCGCTCTAAACTCGATTGGCAGACCAAATGAGACAATTTGAAGAGAGAAAAAAATAGGGGAGCCCTGACCCGGCCTGATCGGCGTTTATCCCACCCCAACCCGACCTTTTGGTACTAGAGGTGGCGCAGACGTATTCATCTTCAGTTTTTTTGATGAAGGTTCTCGCTCCGTCTAGCTAGAAGTTGACTCTTCGGTTGCTTCTGGTAGAACCTAACACCGGGTGGAGGCTCCCCCTCGAGGTACCCAGTTACCTATGCCTTGTATTCGGTATCGAGTTACCAGAGATAGATACGTGGGGCTGTTGCCAGTGAAACGAGGGTGAAGGTCGATTCGCCGATGACGTGAATTTACTTCGTAAATACGGCTTGCGGTAATTGTTTCATGGGAATGGTTGATATTTTATTCGTTCGTACTGATTATTATACGATCACTCGTATTAACTGTAGGAGGTACTGTAAGCGTTTCTGAGGTTAACAAGAATCCTTGTTGACTGAATCATGAATCTCACACAAAATAAGTGAAATATAAGCAAGTAATGTCGACATTTTTGTTTTAATTGGATATACATGAATATACAGTAAAAACGAAAATATAGAGAATTATTTTAGATAGATTTTGCATCAGATTATACAACATATGTAAAATTTATTTAAAATATTAAGTTATTTATTGAACCGACGAAGACAATAAACATTGATTGATTTCTACATTCATGAAGTGGATTATGGGATTCAGATCCAATGTTCTATTCCTTTTGTTTAGATTATAATAATTTTTAGTATATTTGCAGAGTGTTGAAGTTCAATGAATTCTATATTTCATATCTTTGAAATATTAATCTTTGCTTTATCCTTGAAACTATAGGAAACGATTGTCGTTTAAGTTTTGACCCCTTTTAGTTACTCCTTCAAGTCATGAAAACAAAAATATGATAATAATTTTTATTAAGACATTACACTATTGAGGTATTGGGTTGTAACAACAAAAATAAACATCAATCGAATGTCTAAACATGTAAATCCCAAGTTAAATCATATGAATACATCAAAAGTACTTCTACTATGTAGAATTAATTTCGCAATACCATCGCTAATCTAACAGTCCAAACATAAATCTCATAAATTAATAAAGAAATAAACAAATTACCTAACAAATAACAATTGAAAACAAAGAACCTTATACAACTGATAATTTTAAGAATCTCACGTAAAGCTCATTCTAATGATAACCGTAAACACAACAGACACTGCATCACTGATAATTTCCAAATATTTTCCAAAACCAGAAACGTACAGAGTGTCCCCGAAATCGTAGTACAACTGGAAAAAGACTAAATTCACACGTGAAATTAAGTCTAAAACAGAATTAAACTTTCTTACAGAACACTTGATTCCCAAGGTAATTAATTTCGTAACTATCCAATACACATTCACTGATACACGTAAGAAGTAAAAACGCTGATTCACGAAGAGATATCAGTAAATCCCTATTATACACCACAGATATCCAACAAATTTTCAAACGTAATTACCTCAAAAACTCAGCGACATACAAGAAGGTTTTATTCTACAATTTTTCGCTTAACGTTTCACGTACAGCGATTCTCTTCCAATTATACACTTCCTAAGATACCCTGTATTTCATCCGAGGAATTACATAATATATTATCTCACATAACTTATAACGCCTCGGTCAAGCAGCACGTTTCCATAAGAAAACAGATTAATTATTCTCGCGAACCTATCATTCGTAAACCGACGGTCCCAGCCGAAGGTAGTTAAACGCGTGTCGACACCCTCGTTTATTAATTACGGTGACTGGTGGGCGTGCAGGGGGACGGTAACTTCGTCAACGATCGTAACGAGCCTCCATGACGAAGGGCGAACGCCGTGGACCGAAGAAAATTCATAAACTTACCGGAGTTATTGGCGAACTTCTGCCTGAGGGAATTGGCGAGGCGTTGGGGACCGGCCAACGCCGGAAGTCCGGCGAACAAACCGCTCAGCGTAGAGGCGATGTCCGCGCCGTCCTTGCCCTTCGAGTCGTTTAACGACTCCTTCGTGTCTTGCGTCCCTGGGCCCTCCACCTTTCAGCTGAATCTGGAACGGGGCCTGTAAACAGAAATTCATTCCACCTTTCGTTATTTATTTTCAGCCTGTTTCATTATTGACAGAAGTACAGGGAACCCCCGCATAACACGACACTTCTGTAATACAGTTTCAGAATTGGGAAACGCCCTCATATCACACGGCATCCTAGAACACGGTTTGAGAATTCGAGAAGTCCCCGTACAACGCTTAAAGTTTTTAAGAGCAAAGTTCGAAGTTAGAGAAATCCCCGTACAACACGGAACGAAATAAGAGCTTCCGAGTGCCCAAGATATCTCATCGGAAATGTTGCATTTGAGCGTGCACGTCGTATCAGATTTGCCTGCAGAGGTTTGAAATTTATTAAAATTCGAAATCCTATTTTGTTCGTCGAGTATTAAGTTCATTTTCAAATTTCGTATTTTCTTTTTACCATATTATATATAGACTAAAATTGTTCGAGTGCGTATTATTAAACCTCTTTTAGAAATGGTAATTGTTTTTCTAATTTTTGGAACCCATCTCCCATTTTTGCACCAGTTATTTGTTTCGTATAACACGGATTCGGATAATACAGCATTTTTTAGGAACGTAACAACTGTGTTATGTCGGGGTTACCTATACCGTGAAACTCTAACATTAACTCCATCGGCTACCAAGCTAAAATTGCACAGGGACAAGGGGACTCTTCCACTTATGATGCTGGGTCCGCCTCGGCTTTTGACGTATGGTCATTATTGGCGCGCGGCGATAACAAAGAACGAAAGCGAGGCCGAATACGATGAAATGAAACGTAACGAGAGAAAACAAAATTCTCTACAGTTCTGTTAAACTCCGTTCACAGAGTGTTGTATACCTTCAGAAGTAGACAGTATCTTGCAGATTATGCATCAATATGCCACTACTTTGAATGAGAAATCAGAAGTATGCACTTGTCTATACTTATTAGCTTGTCATTAAATTTTTAGTAACAATGTTATATCACAGTCTTGTTTTATATTGTAAACACTTCAACTGATGATCTCCGTGCAAGAAAAGTATCTAGAATTTCACTTATGCTCATAGATAACTACGTACTTATTTCATAAAAACTTTTGCAGTGTTTAGTATATATATATTTATACTAAGTATGATATCAAATGTAATGAAAACATTGAAATTGAAGAGTTCCCTTGCCCTTGTCCACTTTTAGCTTGGTCGCCGATCGAGCTACCGTGATATTAGTATGCGTATAGTAGTATAGTGCAGCTCCCACGTCTATAGCAGCAACCGCCTAGCTAAAAGTGCACAGGGGCAGGGGGAGACGTCCACTAGCGGCTGTTGACCTGGTAACTATGGCGGCTTAGTTTCGGCATGTCCTTGTTATTGGCCGACTCGCGCAACAAGGAACACAAGCGAAACGAAATGCGATAAAGTGAGACATACGAACATTGGTGTCGGACTTTGTTTCGGCGCGACGGCGGATTTTTATGTTTACCGAATCCAAAGGACTCGAAGACTCGGTTACTATGTTTCCTGGAAGGACCAAAATGGAGCGTGCGGCCGATTCTCCTTGCCCCTGTGCACTTTTACTTTAGTGGTCGTCACTATATACATGTACGTGGGATCTACACAGTAGACAATATTTAATCCTTTGCGCTTCTGTGTCGAGCGTGACTTGACATCAGCTTTATTCACAGGTGTGGTTCTTTATCAAGATATTTTTAAAATAGAGTATGTTATTATGTTATTTTCAATATTATTAGTAAAAAGAATCGTTGTTATTAATTATTATAAATTACACTGCTCTTTACAAACTAATTATTCTTTAAAATACATTTCAAATAAAGAATCATAATAGTACAGAGTTATCGAGGAAAAAATGCAAAAGAAATTCGGAGTGCAAAGGGTCAACACTAGGTTTACGAATGTTCATTGCACGGTTTTTTCTATTGCTCCTAGAAAAATTAATATTCCTTCGTTTAGATCTTGAGAATTAGGGATTTAAAAATAGACTTTTAGAGTATGTATTCGTGTAATTGTAGCAGTCAAAACCGACGTAAACGTTTACCAAGTAATGTTTATAAAATTCAATATGCGTGACATTGACACGTTCCGGAAATCTAGTGTTAAAGAAAATTATGAATATCTAACTATGTCGTTACTAAAACGCACACGTCTTTCGCTTGCTAAATCGCGCAGCAGACTGGGCCAGGAAAACTGACAGCACGCCAGGAAAATAAAAAATCGCCGGATAGCCTTAATATATCTTTGATAGCTTTAAAAGGCATTCTATAAAGATATTTCGAAATATTAGTTCCTGTTTGGGACTTAATGTACCGAATGTTTACTTGTTCTTTCGTTTTTTATTAGTTACGTGATGAATAGACTGCGGTTATTCATGCAAATGCATGTTTTTATTGCGAAAAGATAACAGTATGGGAGTTGGACAGAAAATTATTACGTCATTTGTGTATACTAAATATGTGGTTTTTATTCTACGTATTTTGCATATCGCATATGGTTTGCATCTGTTTTATATACTTCTTGCATGTGTTTTGCATATTTTAAGATTTTATATGTGCGTAAATACTCGCAGATTAGTGATGGAAGTTTGGTTTTGAAGTATTTTTGTTTGTAGTATTTAGAATTAATCCATTCAGCATTACACTAAAATTATAAAAGTTCATACTGTAGAATACAGGTGTTAGTTCTTGAGGTTGCATTCTTACAGTAGAAATTCGAGTTTACTGAAGGAATAAGTTTATTTTGATATCTGGTGTACTATTAGGTTGAAACCCAATAAAGTTGTGAAGAGAAACTCATTAGAATTCCAATTTAGTTATAGTTAAGTGTAAATGTATATAACTGTAAGCAACAAGAAAGAGGCATTTATAGTATAAGAGGTATGAAAATAATAATAAAAGAAATGGATATTTATGTTACAATCTAATATTACATGGCGTAATTGCTTTTCTGTAATACAAGCTTTCATAAGACAAATTTCCAAAATTATATTGCAAATTAAGATTGTGTGCGCTATCATTTGTGTATCGGGGTTAATGAAAGCGTTATTTTTATTAATTATAAAAAATTAGAAGCGTGAATTAATTTTAATGGACAATTATATTCTCGTACATAATGAATATTATTTGTATGTAAATGATACAACGTAACTATATTCTAATGATTATCGACAGGTAACGCTATGCCGGAAGCTTATAGTCCACTTGTGAAACATGTTAGATATTTTGGTATTTTTAATTGTATAGTGAGCACTAGTGAATTCTATATGCATTGTTTTATGTAAATTACTATACTAACATCAGGTATGGATTATATCGTTTGTAAATGTACTTTATTAATTATTATGGAATGTTTTAATAATCTATTATCTCGTTGACGATTTCTGCAATCACTGAAAAGTTACTACTAATCAATCAGACTAATGAATATAATGTTATTTCATTGTCACTGTAAATTCTTTATCGAAAATTGTTCTTAACTGCTGTACATCAATCATCAAAAATTTTTTATTTGATTAGTCGATTAATGCTTATGAGTCAAAGAAATTAGTTAAATGATTTAATCGGAGAATGAAATTACTTCTCCTCCGCTGATTATTAAATACAATTAATTTCTAATTATCAACAGTGGATTAAAAATAGTAATATTATCAGACAATTATTAAATGAAATATATATAATACAAATTTTACTTGATAGATATATACTTCTTATAAATTTCGTACGTCAAACTCATTTGTATATAACATTCTCATTCATTTCAAAGTGTATTGAAGACACAGCAAAGAAGTGTAATAATTTAATGATTGATTAATAACCCGATTCATAATTAATCCATTTGATGATTCAATAACTATTTCGATTTGAAATTATAACAGCGATACATCTATTGAATCAAAAGTTTCATTTTTAATCACGATCTGGAATGAAATATTTGAATCGTAATCGTTAATCGTCAATTTCCTTAACACTTCTATTATCTTACACACGTTACTACTGGTCACTCTATATTTAGAGTATCAACATCTATCTATAACGTCCAGTCTTCTATACCTTATATATTAAGAAGACTGAACACATGTGAGTACCTTCCCAAGGTAATTTCCCTTCACATGTTGTAAAGTGATTATTATGGCCACGTATTCACCTTAGTGAATTGTTATTAGTCACCATATATCTATGCATTTCATTACCTGTTGCAGAACAATATATTGTTGTTTATTTGCATACCTATTATTGATACATTTCGTTCTTGACATGTATGATTTTTTATGTAATTACTGTGGGGTTGGTTACTGTAAGCTCGGAGAAAGATGTTTTCAACTACATGATAGAAATCTGTAATTAAGCATTTCAAGAAATCTTTCACTCGTTTTTGTGTAATTTTAATGGGAGACTCATACAAATATCCTTCGTTTTTATTTCACGAATCAAAATATTCGCACCAATTTATTTACTAAAATAATTTTTTACTATGTGTATGAATTATGTTCTACTCTAAACAAATGGGCGTATGTATTTCATAAATACTGATAATTATTTTTAATTAAATTTTAATGAGCGAAATGTTTTGAAAATGTTGAATATTATAATAATGTTACTATTTACCGATATTCGATATGATGTAATTAGCATATCGTATAGAGTGCTGTATTAACAATAATATTTAACATTTTTCTTTAATATTTCATTAAGGTATTCCAACTATTATAATTTTCAAAACTTTTTATTAACAATTTTTCAGTAAAAGAATTAATATAATTGTGAAGATCTACTGCTCCTGTTCAGTAATGTTAGGACACCTATTGAAATAGTTTTAACACAGATTAAAGAATTGTTTAAGATTTCGAACTCTTATTACTATTAAAAATAGAAATAGTTTAAGACATCTGACGTTCATCAGGCGTCATATTGTAACATATCCTCTGATTTAAAGTTACTAATGCACTATCAAAAGAAAATAACACAACAAATGACAAAATATAAAATATAATCTACTATAAAAAAATATTGAAATGTGATATCAAAACAATGAAGAATTAACAAAAATAATATTGAAGAAAATTAAATTTATACTAAAATGAACATTAGATGGTTTTAATAAGATAGAACTCGCGTTAGAAATAAATAATGAAAAAGCAATAAAAAAAAACATTTAAGTCAAAAAAATTTGCACTTAGAATATTAAAAATTTGAATTCGAGGACATTGAATTATCAAGTTCCAATAAAATGCACGCAAAGAAATATTCTAAAATATTTTTTAAATCAAAATGACACTGGAACAAATTAGAATTAACGGTCAAAAAACGCCAAGTTAATAACTCATCCAAACACCATCCACCAAAATCTGATATCAGCGTTACCAATCGATACATGGCTACCGCGAACCAGGAAACTCGGTGATCTCAACACAACACGACTATCGAGACTCCGCCAGAAATCTCCTGAAAGAATCATCCCGTTTCCCTAATCGTCTTCATCACTCAAAAAACAAATATTCAGAGAGTAAAACGCCTATCTAAGCACAATAATCCTGGAAATGAACTCAAAAACTCCCTTCAACCCATCCGGGTGCAATATGCCTCCAGCAGTAGTCCTAGACACATCAATATCAATATAGGTGACTTCACCGGTCCTCTATCCAAGAACCAATGAAATTTTTCTACCAGACAAACTCCATTTCTGTATATCGTATTAAAAATCAGACTCTAAATACCTCGACCCTATACCGTTACGACTCTCAGCACTTGATATAATTTATCTAATCCTAGCGCTACTAGACAGGTTAAAATTCCTGAGGAACTATTAAACGATTCAGTAACACGCAAACTAAAGTGCAAGCAAACCGAGGTCCTGATAAAGACTCTTTTATCGCATAAGAAAACACAAAACAGTTAATGCTCCTACTAAATTCTTTCAGTGCTGATCAGTTGCCAAAAGCTAAAGCTACCTTAACACCCTTACAATTCCCCCAAGAAAACACGAAACAATCAATTTACCGACTCAGCCTGGGCTAGAGAGAAGATTCAGATACAGGGTACCAAGTTTCTGTTAAAGAAATCACAAAACAATAAATCCGATTATTCGGTACTTTCAACACTGATCAGTCGCCAGAAACTAAAGCTAACACATTTACAAATCCTCCAAGAAAACACAAAACAGTCAATGTCCTTACTCAGTGCTTCCAGCTCTGATCAGTTTCCAGAAGGTAAAGCTACCTTAGCACCCTACAATTCCTCCAACAAAACACAAGGCAGTTAATTTGGCTACTCTGTCTGACTAGGTCCAAGTAAGGGGTACCAGGTTTCCGCCGAAGGAATCGCAACACAGTGAATCCGATTACTGGGCAGTTTCAGTGGCGATCAATTGCCAGCAATGAAAGCTAAGAGTACCGGATGACAGTAGATATACTTACTGAGACCGAAGGGCTCCCGATGGCAGGGGCGTCTCGGTGTGTCTCTCCGTCGGGGTAGCTTTGGAACGTCTGCCCTCGGAGTCCTCCCCGCCACCTTGTCGCGAGTCGCCCTCTTCCCGTCCCCATCATCCCCTGGCCCCCGCGGGAAGCCGCTGGTAGGGCGCAGCCGCGGTTTCCAGGATCCAGGGATTGGCCGCGGCGGCGAGGCCGTGCGTCAGCCCCCAAACCCTCCACCATCGTCCCATCCGCATCCCCCTTTCTGTTTCTCGTGCACCCCTCCCGGCGAGCGGGGGAGGGTGGCGCTGCCACGTCCCCGGGGGTAAGAGGAAGAACAGGTATAACGGCGACGGTCGATGCTGCGCGGTATTTCTGGCGGCAGGTCGATATGAGCTTCACCTGTACGACTCCAGCCTGATGGGAAAAGAGGGTGCCTCGGACGAACGTGGCGAACGGTGTGCCGTTCGGATTCCTTTGGACGCGCACCGGTGACCGGCGCTGGCCGGCGCGCAGTGGGCGAGATCACAGTTACCGGTCAAATGTCTGTAACGTCCGTAGAAATGAAGATGAGATTTTCTGATAACAATGAAATGTTCTTTGAACAATTCTAGGAAAGAATGATGATTGTCTTGTATTAAGTCCGTGGTAATTGAGGGTTATTGCTGTTGCTAGTTGTTCGAGGTATATTGTTGCTTTATATGGTTTGCTCTTAACCTTCTGCACTTGAAAGTTTTCTCTTTATATGTATTCATCATTTTTTTATGAAACGTTCATTAGGTTTTCGACTGTATTAAATCGAAATAATAGAAAAATTAACCCCTTGCCCTATGACTTTAACTGTGACCGATACAACAACTTTGTCAGTAATATTTTATTGGGGAAATAGAAAGTTTATAGGTATTCAATGTCTACGTTTGCCCCACAATATAATAATTAAGTAGAGAAGAATAATATTTCATTTAAATTGAAAGGAATTTAGTAATATTTATGTTTGTTACGTCCTATTTAAAATTTTCACCATGAGTCTCACACGTTATTGTAAGACAAGGGATTAAGGAATTATTTTACTTCGGTATATCATGTCTGATTATGCTACCTCAAATTTGATGTTGAATATTGAATTTTATCATTTTGCTGTGTCGAATCAAATGGCGACTGTGAGTCGTTTCTCGGTACAAAGGGTTATTATTGATTATTATTTAGATTTATTTAGACTTTTGGAGAACTTGTTGTATTTATTATCAGCAAATATTTCGTTTTTGGTTGATCAATCGTTTGATTTCTCTTTGAAACAGAAAATTGATTTTTGCCGGAGAAACATCGATGTTTTCTTATTGTGCGACGTTCGCTGGTGATTTCGCGGCCCTCGGGAATACTTCGACCTTTTTCCTCTATGAGAGTCGTTTACGTGATCGTCGTAGTTTGTTGGAGGAAAATCGAATTAATGTTTTTCTAGTGATTTTCAACACTGTTTTTGAGAATATTGTTCATTGTTAATGATTCTGATTTTAGAGTCGTACGTTTGTGATGCTTTTAGAGTCATGATCTTTGCGTCAGAAAGATTAGTCTTCAAAATATCGACAACTTTTCTAGAAGTCTTTTTCTAGTCTCAACGAAGATTATTATCAAAATAAATCGCGATGAGGGATGTACTAAAAGGGTATATTAAACAGTTAAAGAAAATCGAACATTTTTTTATCCAATCCATTCGAAATTTCAAGTATGTGCGATATCGACGATAAGCAATTTTTCGAATTTTGAATTTCCGACGAAGTTATGACAAACGTAGTTAATAAACAAGGGATCAGGAACGTGACATCAAAGGTATAGGAAAACATTACAAGGCAAAAAGTTACAAAAGAACGAAAAATTACTTTCTTTATACTGTAACGTCTGTCGACATTTTTATTTAAACAAAGAATATTCTATGTAACAATGAAAAACATGCATGATCGTTATGAACTTATCAAATTGAAGAAGGATAATTATTGGTACTTCTGCTGTGTTCGTCGTTCCGTACGTTGACGAGGCACGTATTTCCATCGTGTCGGAGATTCGAGCGCCGTAAACGCGGTTAAAGTAGCCACAAAATAAAAAGACAGGGTCTTGAGTGAACTCTTCACTGCCAAACAAATATAACATTATGGTGTATAAAAAGCCAAGTTTCAGCTAAAATGAAAATTAATTTTATCACCAATACATTTATTTAAAATATTGTCTTCATTAAAATCACATTTTTTAAACATTTTATTTAATGTTATACAGCCAGTTTACTCAATGTTCATGCAATTTATCAAAATTGTATGTTACTACGATGCTTTACTATTTTATTAACATATATTTTATTAATTAAATGATTCTCGAAACGAAACAAATTTTATATTTTAGAAAAAGGTGTAACCGCAGTTTCGATAGATACGAGGCATTAATAAATCAAACTGTCCCAAATTTATTATTTTATATTCATGGGAAGATTTGATATTTTATTGTTCCTTTTTGATTCTGTTAAATTGTCAATAATATGTACATTCATAATAGTGAAACTCGGAATACACGTCATTAAATTATTATACAATCAAGCAGCAGGATTTTGTTTCCCTGAAAATTGACTTTTTACTTATTAAGCATGTTCATTTATTAATTTTAACATGCTACGTGCAAAATGGGTAAAATTATATACGGGGAAATTGAATAAAACCTCATATACCCGTCTTAATGGGGAGACATGAGCGTGTGGATAAGGGTATTTTCGATGGACGTGTTGATGTCACTGCTATCCTTTCCATGACTGAAAGCAAACGCACATTTTATTAACATATAATTGCTGGTATCGACAATCAGAATAAACCACGTAATTATAATATTAATATTAATAACAATATTATCCACTTATACTGTGCAATTAAAATAAACGTTGTAGTTGTAACTTAATATTGATGTTAACAGTATTAATATTTGTTCATAGGAATATTAATATTATAATACATATTCAAATTTACTAAATATAATTTAATATCTGTATCATAAATTAAATTTGACATCATGAAGAATCCGATTAAGTTCTTAATATCCACATAATAATATTATCTTGACTTTCTCACGTGCACTGTCGGTCAAAAGTTTGGGACTGACACCATATACTTCGGTTAAAAGAAAAACTTCCATTTTTTGTAAACAACTTTTATTAGAGAATGTTTATGTATGACAAAGGAACGTGGACGCATGAGTATTAGTCAAATATAAAGATATATGATTTTTGTTATTTTATCTTATATATTTACAAGATATGTAATTTTTCATTTATGAAGTTATACATGAAGTGGTTCCAAACTTGTGACCGGTAGTGTATGCGACATAAATGTAAAAATATCCATAATTCAGCCATCAGTTATCATCTACGTGTATTGAAAGGCTCGAATTTTCAATGAAATTGTATATATTTTAATATAACTTACTGTAACTCAATGCTGAACATCTCATCTTTCGCCATTCATCAGTTTGCTTCGCAGATTATATTCCACGCCATCAACGAATCATGAATAAAGAGATAACAAAACTCCACCAACACGCCTGATATAATAAACGTGACCTAATTCAAAAGTTTTCGAACAAGGTTTGATGACAGAAGAAAAAGAAGAAGAAGAAGAAGAAGAGGAAGAAAAAGAAGTAGAAGAAGAAGAGGAAGAAGAAGATTCCGGGGACCTATAATGAGCTTACTTATAGTTTCTTGGCACGAGACAAGACGTTCCGAAGGGGCAGCAACGTTATGTTCTGTTAAGTAGACCGTCTAAAGCGTGAGAGCGTGACCGGGTGGCGAGAATCCAGAAAGAGATCGGTACATCGGAATATCACAGAATATTCCTAGTATTCAAATAGATTACTTGACAGAGCACCGTGTCAACTGATCCGATTAGGGCGACAATAAAATTACGGGCAAAGCAGATACCAAACTTGCTAATACACTTTAATGGTCGCTGATTTCTATATTACGATCGTTCGTATTATAAGTAGCATTTTACTAACAGTTACCTGCGATTTTGTCTGTTTCTCAATGTTTCTGCTAATCAAATCACTCATTACAATAACCCTTAACCCCTTGCTTTAGAATAACATGTCAGACTCGTGGTGAAGATTTTAAACAGAATTTAAAAAACATAAATATTACTCAATTTTTTTAGTAAAAATTGAACACATTACTCTTCTGCTATCAGTTATTACAGTTTAGAGCAAACATAGACATAGAATGTACCAAGAATTTGTGTTTTTTTAATAAATTATTAATAACAAAGTAGGTGTATCGATCGTAGTTGAGAAAGAAATTGTTGAGCAAGAGGTTAACACGGTGACTGTACCGTGGTCATTGATGACTGTAGCGTCCGAATTACTTAAAAATAATTACCATATAAAAGATGTCTGATGTAAAATAAAAATATTTAATAGTGTAAGTAAATAGTAGGGTAATGTAAGCATTGTGACACCAAATAATTAATCGTCGTTTTTATATTGGGTTCATACAAAAGTTTTAACCTTTTTTTTTATAAGAAATAAAAAGAAGAAGTTTCCAAATATTTGTATTGACTTAAGTTATTACATAATTTCCATTGGTTGCTACTATCCCCTTGCGTCTTTCTATAAGCTTATTTATTCCATCATTGTAAAAACAATATGATTCCGAAAAGAAAAATGAATCCAATTTTTACTTGCTCCAAAAATGTCAAAATGTTTGCATCAAGCCCATGTATCCTTGTCATGGAAGAATAAATAATATACAAAACGTACAATATTCTTGTGTCATTCAACGTGTTAAAGGACCAAAATATTCTGGTGTTTAGGTCTGTTCAAAAGTTTTTTACCGCTCATCAAAATAAAAATAACAATACTGTGTATTTAATGTATATAAGAAATTAATGAATTAAATTTTTAAAAATTATATAAACACCTGTTAGTTCAACTTTTTCTGTATTGATTCATTAGAGACTACGGTCTTTTGTGTTATTTTCTTTTCAATTGTTCTTTAATTGTTAAAAATAGATTAATCTATAAATACTTTAGAATATTTAAAAATATTTAGAGTTAAGGCGTTTATTGACTGG